CGCCGTTTTCCTTCAGCTGACCAGCAGACAACAGGTTCGCGTGCACGCCCGGAACGTACAACACGTCGGGGATGAGAATCTGCTTCCCAGTCTCCCTTTCAGAGCAACCGTGCCGCGGCCTTCGACGTTCTGAAGCGCCCCGTTGAATCCGCGCACGTGACGGATTTCTCCTCCTGGCTTCATTTCGACGAAGGCCTCTCGTGTTCCCATCAGATGATGGGAGCAGCCACTGTCGAGGAGAACCACAGTCGGATTCGCGTGCACGGCTGCTGCGACCGCCTGGAAGTCGGCTCCAGCCTCCGGCGCCAGCGAAATTGTTGGCTCGACCACGCCAACCATCGAACAAGAGGCTTCCTTTTCGCTCGAAGCATCACCGTACTCGAAACCAGCCATCCGCATGTCGGCCAAAATTCGCCGCGCTCGATTGCAGTACTCGGTCGCCGATTCCTGCTCGCCCATGCGAATGGTGGCCAATTTCTTCTCCAGTTGGCTGATGTAGAGGTCGTCGGTCGCTCTGTAGGTGCGCATGATGTACTGCCACGCTTGGTAGCCGGCGTCCACTTGAAGTCGGCACTGCTTCAGCGCGACTTGCACCAGCGGCGAACAACACCTCGAAATGACCATGAAGGTCAGAAGATGAGCAGCGCGGAGTTCAGAGTCGTCTTCGCCCGGCGTCACCACATCGCCGTCGACGAACTTCTTCAATCCAACGATCTCCAGCTGAGGTTCGATTGACTCAATCCATGTGATCAAGTCGTGTCGTCCTTCGAGCGGCTTCGGCACAGCGATCTTGTCCGGCGAAAATTTGAAGTAGCCGTACGCTGGCGCGATGCCTCCGTCGCGACCAGCCGACGCATGAGTCGCCGATGTCGGCCTGGCTCCACTCCGCTGAGGAGAAAGGCGTCGACCATCGATGTTGCCGTTCGAACTTCCCGCTGTCGCCGAGCGCTGATTCGCGCATGCATTCCGCCGATGCTAACGTCGGCGGCCCGAATCACTCCACGAAGCCTCGTGCTGCCTTCGCTGCCGACTTGGTTACCACCGTCGACCTGGTCATCGACGTTCCCTTCGTTGCGCGCCGGTCGGGTACGCGGGTACGCGGGCAGACCATCCGACTCAGTACGGGTCGTTGGGTGATCGCGCGCCCACTGCACGCGGGTTCCAAAGAGCATAACATCCAAGGTTGCTCCGCCGTACTCGCCAGCTGCGTGGCGTGCCCGAACGTCATCTAACCGCGCCTGCAGGGTATCCTCTACGACTGCAGCGACCTCCTCCTGGTCGACCATGGCGGTTTAGACGGCTGCCGGCCTACAACAACTTAGGTATTGAGCACTAAAGTCGGCTACTCTGAAGGTTCTAACGCGGGGCCGCTCCACGCTCACCGCACCATGCGGAGAGTCACCCTACAACGGGATTGGACTACGAAGGAGGGCACGGGGTTGTGTGGGTGATCGCAGCGCTCTAGTAGCGTTCTAACAGAGACCCCACTACTTGCTCTGTTCACAGAGAGATTTGGCAAGAGTTTCCACTAAGGAAATTGAAAGTACATTGAAAATTGAGAATTAGAGTACAAGAATGAGCATGCAAAGTGATATCTCTGGAATGGCATTGCAACCCCTAGCAACCATTCTGCAAGGCGAATTGCCAGCACTGCATCAGAGCGGTTCGCCAACGCTGAAACAGAGCGGTCTGCCAGCGTAGCAGAAGGGCGACATGCCAGCGCTGCAACAGGGCGGCCTGCCAGCGCTGCATTCGCAGGTGAATATCTGCGCAGGTGTGCACCTGCCGAGTAGGTGCAGGTAGACGGTTACACCGTCAGAGACATTGCGCAGGTGCCAGGTAGAGAACGCTCCGACGGTTTCTCCAGATGCCCACCGTCGAGCACGTGATGCCATTTCGGAGGTCGAATTTCGCTAAGAGCCACCTGAGCGAATTTCGCATGCCCTCGCAGAGTTTCGCGGTCGTGCGAATTCGGCCGACCAGTTCGCCGAGCTGACGCTCGCCGAACAGCGCCCTTTGATCAGAGAACGCGGCTACACCCCGTCCGTCAGAGATCGCGCGACCCAGAAGCAGATCAGAAGACGAGCTCGTCGAACAGCACCCCGTCGACCAGAGCTCGTTGACGGGCTGGTGAATCAGAGGACAACCTCCTCGAAAACCACCCGCGGTTTCAGAGGACGGGCTGATTTAATGCGACGATCACTTCGTCGAATTCACCACGTCGTAGCGGAGAATGCCTGCGCCCAAGCGAGGGCGGGGCCTTTAACTCCGACACACGCCCTCGTAAATACGTTTTTGACAGGCAATCTGCCACAACCTGTAGGTGATTTGTTCATGCATCCCGACTAGTTTCTCTAGAAAAACCTGAAGGTAGGGCCCGCCTCATTGCGACTGGAAAATGTCTGATTCGCCTAGCAACAAAGGCTGCTTTGCCAGCAATGGAATAGTTGACGTGCATGTTCGTCGCACGTTCTGTGGCCGACTGAAACCAGAGTGTCCGGACTTTGGACCGCGTGTTCAGACATTGAAATGTCATTTTTTTTTAATTGCGGACCGCGTGTTCGTACTTCGGATGGTGTCCAGTCCAGGAATAAGACCTAAATTCGCTAACGAATAGTAGAGTTGACTAAGTCGAAGATGAGAACGCGGCGGGAGACTTTGGCGAAGAAAGAGTTTGAGAAACAGGCGAAGTAGTTACTGAGTAAGTGAATGAGAACTGGTTGAACATGGTAGATACAAACTAGGTTGATATAGCATCTACGAGCAATTGTGGGAAAGTGGTTTGTGAGAACATTAAATCCCCCTCTAACACATGCGTTCGGTTTACATCTATGGAAGCCTCTCAATACTTGCAACATACTAGTAATCACATATGTGGAGTGAGCACATTCTTATTGCAAAAGAAAAGTCAGACACCCCTTGCTACTAGCAGTGTATATGCAGTAAGAACATTGATATTCTTGTTTTTTATTTTTTATTTGTGTGTGTGTGTGTGTGTATGTGTTTTTTTTTTTTTTGAATAACGTCTGATCCCAAATTTCAATCGTTGCTTTCTTCCTCTGCGTGCTCAATGGTACATGTCATGAATTGGATATGAAGTAAGGGGTATGAAGAACTATAGGTCTGAGCCAAACCTCCTTAAAAATATTTTTGGTGTGGTTGAAAATGTGTCAGTAGCAAAAGATGGAAGGGATGGAAGGAGTTGATTGTGTTATATTAGAGCTAGGAGTTGTTTGTTCCTAGTTGTAGATGCTTAGTTTCATTCGAGCGTAAGGCATTTACAATCGTGCATTGTTTGTTTAAGTTTCTACAACAATAAACCAACTCTTGGCTTAAACAGAAAAATAATTGAATATGAATTTGAATAGGTTCCTATGTAAGCTGCCGACCATGAAAAAAGCGCAAAACAACCAGGTTTCATGACACCATCCTGCTTTTTTTTTTTGGGGAGGGGGGGGGGGGGGGGGGGGGGGGGGGCCAAGGGGGGGGGGGGGGGGGGGGGGGGAGGGGGGGGGGGGGGAGGCAGAGGAGGTTGGGGAAAGGAGAGGGGGATGGGATATTCTAGGAACAGTGTTGGGGGAAGGGATGTGGACTCCACATCGGATGTGCTGGCAGTGGCAGTGGGTAGGCATCATCTTGTGTTGGCGCGAGAGGTCAGGTCTGCAGTCCATTTATGCCTGTGGATCTACTGTTGAGCAAACTGTACGGTACAAGAACTGTAGAGTTCATGTGGAAACGCCTCAAAAGGTCAACGGTTCAGTTTTACAGAACTGTGCTTGGCTTGTCCACAACTTCGACGCGATGCTACATGTTTATGTTGGGGTACCTACCCATGATCTATCTAAAACGGAGGGTAGACGTTATCCCATACATATGTTTCTGTCGAGGTATTAAAAATACCTTCGAAGTTATGCGAGATTGATTCTTACCGTTGCTTGCTGTTTTTTATAACCCTGTTCTTGATTCCCCTGCAGCCAAACAGGTAGGGCGTTTTTACGAGATGAAGGGACGAGGTGTAAAACTAGATTTTGTCTCCATTCTGTCTCATTTTTAGGAGGTGGCACGCTAGCACCAAAACCCCACCGGTCCGTCGCCGACCAGTGCGTACCCGTTGCGTACCAGCTACGGACCAGCCTTGTTCTCGGCTTGAGTTCGCCCCTTGACCTGCTTGCACCCCCCCAAAAATCAGCGCAGTGCGCCCGAAGGGGAGGGCACGACAATTCGCGACAGTTCGAGCATGCCTGACATAATGTACCAAAATTTCGTTTGCTCTCGCTCACCCTGATTCCTCCGCTCGTGGGTACCACGCCGGACCCTCTGTAAATCGGACCACCTCTTTTCGTATTTGCCTTTTGCCTTTTGCACCCTACGGCTTGACAAGGCATCTCGCTTGGCACAACCATATTTCTGGCGAATGGTCAACTCCACCCAAGCTAGGGGAAATGCGGCGACGTGGGTCCATTTTGCTCAGCTGCAGGAGCCCTGTGTGGTTCAACAATTTTTAACATTCACGTTAGTTCATGTTACCCCTAGCCTCAGAACTGAAAATTCAGTAGTACAGTTCAGCAAGGAACTGTACTGTAGTTCATTTCCCGTCTGGCAACTCTATTTGGTTCGATGCCCAATATGAAATGCTGGAAACGAATGGGGCAGGTCGGTGTATTTCCCGAATGCCCACCAAATTTTCAATGGAATCCGGGGAGGCCATACTGGAAAATGGTGCTTCCCCCCACCCCCAACCCACGTTGGGTGCATTCTTGCTCAACATCCTTCCCGCTCATCTCCTGCCGAGGTTCTGACAGGGCCAAACACAACTATCGCACACATCATTCGCACGCTCATAGGACCCCTTCGCACAGACTTTCGCGCATCGCCGTGGGCGTGGGATCAACACATAATCTTGTCGCATAGTTTTTCACGCTCCTCTTCCCTAGTAGTAGTAATAAAGGTCCTTTTTAGCACTCCTTTAGCAACCACAGATCTGTGGTCAGGACAGTAGAATGGGATGGAAAGATCTGGGGTGGTCGCTCGCCGGGAGGGAAAAAGGCGTGCCGGCGGAAAGAGCGGAGACGGCAGAGGAAGGGGGTGGCGTGGGCGGAGGAATGGTAGGGGAGACGGCAGGGGCGGATGATGAAGTGCCGCTACTGGATGACGAGGAGGTGAAACGTGCGGACAAGGAGGTCATTCAGGGTACTGCGCGCCACCAAGCCGCCTAATCGTCTCCTCCTTTGTTTCAGTGACTGAATGCTTGTTCTTCCTAATGAAGCATTCCAAGCATCGAATGCTCTGCCAAGATGTATTTGTCCTTCGGCTCTTATGCTAAGTATGTTGATATTTCTGTTCCGAGCTAACGTGATGTATTGCCATATTTGCAGGTGTTATACGTATTGTATTCGTTTCCGTTTTGCTGTTCTGTTCTGGTACATTTCTTACACTTGCTGAGTAATTTGAATTAATATTTTTCGGGGCATCGGATTGGTCAATGTTTGTCTATGGTGCGATCCGAGGCATTGCAACCCCCGATTCGTCAATGTTTGCGTTTTAGCGACTCGTTAAATTTGAAGGCATATGATTGGTCAATGTTTGATTGGTCACGGTTCGGCGCTTTTGGAAGGCGCCGCGCTGGTCAGGTTGGGGTCACTTGGGGGTCAGGGGGGAGATTTTCCTGTAAATCGAACACCCCCAGGACACCTTCGGGTGAAAACAGCGTGCACCTGACCCCGAAGTCACCTTCGGGTGAGGAACAAGGAACCCCATAGTCACCTGGGGGTTCCCAATTTCCAAGGGTGAGCCTGAGGTGGTCAACTTTTTGGAGATGGCGTCATGCGCAAAAAATGCTACTAGCACCTACAGTGGTCCCTGAGGGCAACACTTTTCCGTGCCTCGCTTGTCTCTTTGCTTCTGAGTCCCCTTCCCTATTCCCCGCAGTCCTCTGCGTCCAACTCTGACATTCATGCCCTCCGTCCTCTTTCCCCGTCCTCACCTCCTTCCCGCTCCCACATCCCCCCCTCACAAAAACCCCTACCCTCTTCTCCCTTTCCTCCTCCGAGGAGTCCCCCCTTCCCCCCTCCCTCCTCCCTTCCCACCTCCCCTCCCACCCCCCTCACCATATTCCTTTGCCCTCCCCTTGCCGTTCTCCCCCCATCCTCTCAACCCTTTCCCCTCCCTGTGCCCTCCTTGCCTTTCTCTCCCGTCCTTTCGCCCTCTCCCCCCCCTCCTCACGCCCCATCCGCAGCGGTGTTTGAGCGCGTGGTGGAGGCACAGGCGCAGCTGCACAACTACAAGAGCCTCATCGCCTTCGCGCTCTTCACCGCCCTCTACCTCCTCATGCTCTGCCTTCAGGTCCGCTCCTCCTCATGCTCTGCCTTCAGGTCCGCTCCTCCTCATGCTCTGCCTTCAGGTCCGCTCCTCCTCATGCTCTTCTCCTCCTTGCCTGCCCTTGATCGCCATTCCATCACTCCTTCTTCCTCTCGCACCCTCTCCCTGTTGCATGTTCTCCCTGCCGCTAAGCTTGTGAACGAAAATTCGGTGTCGCAGGGGATTTAAGTATACGACCAAATACTTGATAGACATGAATTCGATGCGGCTGCTGCTTTCACGTAGTTGATGATCGAATATTCGAATATTCGAAATACCACTCCTATTATCTAACACGCTATAGAAAGTATTCTAGGTTTCTTGAGACCAAACCACACACAGCCTGGTCTCAATCATCACACAGCAAGGAGTGAGCCTGCCCGTTAGACCAGCACTTAAGCAGTGATACTTTGAAACTATCAGTCAGAACAGCTAGCCCCGGTCATGTTACCCCAGCCCACTGCACTCTCAGTATGCCTGCCAAAAGCATGCGAATCGGACACTTCAGGAACCATGCCTGTGCGGATGTGCCATCAAACAGTCCGTCATCAGGAAGTTAACTTGACGCGGGCCAGGCATGGCGTGTGAGGTCAGCCGGCCCTGGCCCTGGCTCTGATCCTGGCCCTCTTCCTGGTGCTGGCCGCGCCCTATGCTCATGCCTAGTCGCGGCTCACAACCTCTCATGGTATCCCGCATCGTGCTTGCTCGCTGTGTGTCACGCGTTTCCCCCACCCCACCAGGCGCAGTCCTTCCAGAGCTACCAGGTGGCCACCGCTCACAACGTCCTGCTGCCTCCGGTATGCCTTTGGCAGCCTCCCTTCTGCCTCTCACGCTGCCCTATCATGCGCCTTTTATGTGAAATCACTTGCAACTACTCTGCCACAGCTCACCACATTTCCCAACCGCACCGCTGTCCTCGAATCGTTGCCTCTCATGATTCTGCCTGCTACGTTCTCTGTGCGCATGCTTGCGCGCACGGGTGGGTGTGTGTGTGTGTGTGTGTGTGTGTGTGTGTGTGTGTGTGTGTGTGTGTGTGTGTGTGTGTCTGTGTGTGTGTGTGTGTGATTGGGTGTGCGTGGGCTTGCACGGTGTGCGTGCTGTGGGGACGGCAGGACTACTCCAAGGACTCAAGCTACTCCTTTGCCAGCAGCAGCGCGTTCTACACCTGGCTCAACGACAGCATCATTCAGGTGATTGCGATGACAGCACCATTCAGGTGATTGCAATGCATCGCTCACTTGATTCCAATGACTGCATGATTCAGGCGACTCCAAGGACAGTGTGATTCAGGTGATTACAATGACAGCTTCATTCAGGGGGTCAATGGCTCATGATTTCAAAGGTTGATTCCGTTGATTTCTCTTGGATCCCACACAGCAGTGGGATCGATTCAGCTACTTCAAGGGGGACCAGTCAATTTAAAATATCAATGGGCACGCTTCCTTTCCGCGTCGCCTCTCCCCTGCTCAGGCCGTATGGACGGACCCGCAGTGTGGCGACGGCACGTGCACGCCCCCCACGGAGGTGCCAGCGGTGGGTCGCTTCGGGTGCGCCCTGGACTGCGGGGTGGCCAGCAACGTGACGCCCGTCACGCTGGCGCTGCGCTGGCGCTTTGCCTCGAGCGACGCCATGGCTGCCTCCCAGTGGAACCTCTGCTCCACCGCCATCCGCGACGTCTGCTGGTGAGACGCCAGCACAGCTCTGCATGAGTCATTCCGTGTGAAAGTGTGTGTGTAGCGTGAGCGAGTCAATGTTTGTGTGAGTACACATGCATGTGTGAGCAGTCAAGATAGTGTGCATGAGAGTGTGCGTGCGTGCATGTGTGTGTGTGTGTGTGTGTGTATGTGTGTGTGTGTGTATGTGTGTGTGTGTGTGTGCGCGTGCGTGCGTGCGTGCATGTATGAATGTGCGTGTGAGTGTGTGTGTGTGTGTGTGTGTGTGTGTGTATGTGTGTGTGTGTGTGTGTGTGTGTATGTGCACGCGTGCGTGCGTGTGTGTGTGTCTCGGGTGTGTGTGTGTGCGTCTCGGGTGTGTGTGTGTGTGTGATAGAGACAGTTTTAGTGCGTGCGTGTGTGTGTGTATGTGTCATGTGTGTGTGAGCGAGTGTGAGTGCGTGTACTTGCGCGCACGTGTGTGCGCGTGTGTGTGCGTGCGTGTGTTGTGCATGTGTTTTTGTGTGCATGTGTGTGTGTATGTGTGTGTGTGTGTGTGTGTGTGCGTGCGTGTGTGTGCGTGTGTGTGTGTGTGTGCGTGTGTGTGCGTGTGTGTGTGTGTGCAGGCGCGTATGTGCGCACGTGTGTGTGTGCGTGTGTGCATGTGTGTGCACGCGCGTGTGTGTGCAAGCGACTGTGTGATTGTTTGGTACATGCATAATAGTAGGTGTCCGTGCCAACAACTGGGTTTGTGTAAGAGTGTGATTGAGTGTGAGTGCGTGGGAGTGTGAGTGATTGTGAGTGCGTGGGAGTGTGAGTGATTTTGAGTGCGTGGGAGTGTGAGTGAGTGTGAGTGAGTGTGAGTACGTGGGAGTGTGAGTGAGTGTGTGAGCGTGATATATGAGTGAATATGATCTGAACCTTTTCAATTTTAACATTCTTTCCTTCTGCATTCCTGCTCTCCTCTGTGTGGTATATGCATGAAAATTGAGGTGTCCTCCTAATAACCCACTCTCCCTACACATCAGGTTCGAGGGTCCTCAGGGGTTCTCGGAGGTGGCAGGCTGGCAGGCGCTCACGCTGCAGCTGCCAGACAACGACTGGTTCGTCTCACTCACTGCACCGGACGGCGGGGTGAGCGTGTACGTGTACGAGTCTCAGCCCACCACCACTCCCGATGGACCACAGTTCCCTTCTGCCTCCCTCGACCCAGCTGCGGCAGCAGCAGCATCAGCAGCACCACCCTCCTCACCCACTCCTGCGCCTCCCCCCTCTAGCGCCGGCACCCCCGCCTCTGCCCCCTCCGCCGTGGGGGGCGGGAAGGGGAGGGTGCGGCCGTCCAACGGCACGGGCGCTAACGTGCTGCTCGCACTCATCGATGGCTGTGTGGTAGATGGCGAGAGCAATCTGCAACGGTGCAGACAGGTATGATGGAAAGGCTCTTTAGAGTGGGTACAGATGGGTACTGTGGAAATACTGGGTGTGCTCTGTGAGATTGGGTAAAATGGGAAGAGTAATGGGCTGTGGTGCAGAGTGGTAGGGTGGGCTGTGAAGTGGTTTTTCATCCCTGCCATGCTTCATCCACATGCTGGCAGGGCAGGGCACAAACTTGAGCTTGCACCACCTTGCTTGCACCACCTTGCTTGCACCTGATCCTTTCTCTGCCTCCATCCCATCCTCTCCTCCCCTCTTTGTCCCAGACTTGCGCGGTTTGGACTCTCTGCCTTCCACAGCTATGCACCAACAGCAGCAGCGCTAGCAGCGGTGGTACTACGTCTCCTCCCATGCGGGTGGCCTCCTTGGCTCTGGGCAGCTGCTTCCAGGCCTGCAACGCCATGCTGCCACGTACCTCCTTCCTCCCACCCGACAATGTCTCCTGCTCCCAGGTACGCTGCAATCACTCCTGTGTGTCATGGTCATTTCTTCTGAAGACCCACCCTGCATGTATTCATTCTTCTTTCGATTTTGGCACCCAAACCTGGTTTGAATTCAAAACGCGGCCATTCAACTGGCCCCAATGTTTGGGAGAACTATCATTGGCACTGCTCGGAGAACACTGCTCGGAGAACACTGCTCGGTGAGCACTGCTTGGATCACTGCTCTTGGATCACTGCTCTTGGATCACTCCTCTTGCATCTGCTCGGTGTGATGTGAAGCTGTGACATGTCCTAACTTCACAGCACACGGTCTAGTCCCGCCTATTTCCAATGATGATCTCTGTTTTGCACTATGCTGACATGGTTGCTCTCCTAACGCCCTGTTTCTTGATTCACCATTCCGTCTCCCTCTCTTGTTTCTCTTACCTCTCCTGCCTCTCTTGCCTCTCTTCCCGCTCTCCCCTCGTCTGCCTCGCCTCACAGGCATTCACTCTCTTCGAGCCATTCGTCCAGACGCCCTCATGCACTGGTGCGCCCTCCTGCCCTCTCCCTTCCCCCTTTTTCTGCCCTCCCTCCCCACCCTCCTGCCCCCCTCTCCCCCTCACCCCCCCCCCCCCCCCCCCCCCCCTCCCACCCCCCCCCCATCCTCCTGCCCTCCCCCCCACCCTTCTGCCCTCCCCCCCAGCCTCCTGCCGTCCCACCCTCCTGACCCCACTCACATCGTTTACTTACCTGCTCTTTCACCGCTTTTCACATCTGTCTTTCCTGCCGTCATGTCTCCGCCTGCACTGCAGTAAGGTGCCACAAAAATTCTTTGCCTTTCCATCTGTGGTCATCGAAGCTCTTACCTTCCTCCATACTCTGCCATTCGAACCTCTCATCACGTGTGCTCGTAGCACCACCAAACTCGTGTCAACAAGGTGGAAAAACACGATGTGTGTGGGTGTGTGTGTGTGTGTGTGTGTGTGTGTGTGTGTGTGTGTGTGTGTGTGTGTGTGCGTGCGTGCGTGTGCGTGCGCGTGCGTGTGTGTGTCTGTGTGTGTGTGCCGTGAACGCGCGCGTGTGTGTTTTCATTTTTGTTATCGTTTTGTTATGGTCGTTTTTTATAAGACCGTAATTTACTTTACGGTGAAAATTTTGAAGGAGCAGCGTTCTTTGCACCTTGTTCTCGTGTGCAGACATCCTCTCAAGTACTGCTGTTCCTGGAGAGGCAACCACAGCAGCAGCGGCAGCAGAAGAAGCAGAAGCAGGCCCATTGTCTGCCCGTCTTCTTTCTGCGTCGGCCCCCGATGACACGAATCAGCACAGCCTCATGACGTCTGTCCTCCAGGTCCGCACTGCACTGTCTGCACTGTATGTCCTCCCCACGTTCCTATTTTTTTCCCTGTTTCAAAACCATCTATATTGTCTCCAGTGCTCCCCTCACACTCTGCTGCTGCCCTCCTGGCCACTACGCTCTTTAATCTGCTCTCCACTCCCCCTCCCCCCCCCCTCTCCTCCTCTCTCCACCCTCCCCCCCTCCTCTCCTCTCCTCTGTGCGTCACTGCCACGTGCAGCACCACCAGCAGGTGAGGCAGCAGTTGCAGGAGACGTGGGCGCAGCAGCATGAGGCAGCAATGCAGCACCATGCCGTGGGGGGTGCACACGTCTCCGCCACTGCCACCACTCCCACCAACATTATCAGCAGCCGCCTTTTGCCACCACAGGGCACTCACAGTCCAGCACCAGGTGCCTGCTCCCCCCGCCGAGACTTCACTGCTCCTTGCTTCTTCTCTCTTCTCCCTTGCCTTGTATCTTTCAAGCTGATTGACTTCTCCATTGCTTTCCTTGGCTCTCATTCTAGAGGCACAGAAAAGGCCGTTCTCATTGAGCTAGACACGAGCACAGTACTGAATGACGTTCTCTTACCCATTCAAACTCTGGCTATTCATCCAATCACTCAAGCTCAACGGAGACTCCGTTCATTCTATAGCCTGCCTTCCTTCCTCTTTCCTTGTCACAGATTGTTAATACGCGGCAGGATTTTGCCTCTCTACTTGGAATTGGCGCCTTACCTCAGTAGTTGCACCGCCTCTGTCTTGTTCACACATTGCCTTCCTCTTCGTCCCTTCCTGCAACCGCCCTTTTCCCTTACCTTCTCCCTGCATTCTCCCTCCCCGGACCCACCCTTCCCTGGACCTGCCCTGTCCTCCAGCGTCTGCCACTCCGCCAATCACGCGAGACCAGCTGCTCGTTTGGGAGAGCCTCGGGACTTCCGAAGGCGAGCGAATCAGGGCGTGCCAGGTGGCAGTGGCGCGGGCGCTGTACACTGCAGTGAAGGAGAACTGCCTGGCCGGGCCGACCGGTGGCGCCACCACCAATGCCAGCAGCAGCGCTGGCACTGATACCACCACCAGCAGCAGCAGCAGTATGGGCAACAGTGGTGGCGGGTCGCTGCTGTCATCCTCGCCGGCCAAGAGCCTCTCCCTTGCCTCTCGCAGTCGCCTCGTCGCTTTCCTCTGCACACTCTTTGGCGGCCCTGTGGCCAACAACCCACTCTGCAACTTCACGGAACCTTCCTCTGGGCGGCAGTTGAAGGGACAAGCAGAGCTTGTGGAATACATTCGAGCGACCCACCGCACGTACGGCGCTCGAATGTGACGAGTCCCCTAGCGACTCAGGGGGGTTGAGAGTGGTTTTGCTAGGGGACTCACCGCACGTACGGGGCTCACAGGGGGGGCTGAGAGGGGGGCTGGGAGAAGGGCTGGGAGAGAGGGGGTTCACTGGGCGCTCACAGGGGGGCTGAGAGGGGGGCTGAGAGGGGGGCTGAGAGGGGGGCTGAGAAGGCTCGCCGTTGCTCCCTCTAGGCAAAATTCTAAACCTGATCTCACTTCTTCTCCAGATTAGATGGTCAGCCAGTTTGCTTTTCTATTTTCTCACCCGCACTCCCCTTTTTCCACCCTTCCCTCCTCCTCCTCTCTCTCGCCCCCTTCCACTCACCTTCATTTCATCTGTTGTCGTCATTGTTTTTATCCTCTGCTCATCCCACCCCAATCTCCTGCTCATTCTACCCCAATCCCCTGCTCATTCCCTTTCTTTTCCCCTGCACCGCCTGTGCAGTCCATCTCGGCGCTTCTCTGCCGCCCAGCAGTCTCTCTTCATCCAAATCCTCATCATGGCACTGCAGTCAGTCGTGCAGAAGATGCCAGACGATGCCGTCCAAGCTGCCACCCGCCTGCTGCATGCCTATGATGATGCAGTCGTCTCCTCCGATGCTTCTTCCTGCCCCCAAGGTGCCCTGTGCATTCTCACTCACCTCATTCACTGCTTCTCTCAGATCTTGTTTTCTGCTGGCAATGCATGGCCCTCTGTTGCTTCTTGGCTTCCACCTCCCATCTCTGCTCTGCCTCTCATAAAAGCTTCTCTCGTGCCAGTGCTCCCCTCTTCTTCTCTTGATGCTCTCCTCTTCTTCTCTTGATGCTCTCCTCTCCTCCCCTCTCGTGTGGCCCTCTCTGCATCGTCACTTTTCATTGGCCCAATCACTCAAACACTCACTTCGCATCAATTCATTCCTACCCCCTATTGCTTCCACTCTCCTCTTCCTTCTTTCTCTCCATCCCTGAACCTCCTTCTCTCTCTTTCCTCCCCTCTCCCCTCCTCCCCCCCCACAGCCGACTTCACAGTGCTGTGGGACTCAACCTCCTTCGCCCGCCGTGCCATCGCTGACGGCCAGCGGGTCACATGGGTGTGGAATGACGACAATTACCACGAGCTCAGAGGTGCGCCTGTAGCGAGCTCAGAGGTGCGCCTGTAGCGAGCTCAGAGGTGCGCCTGTAGCAAGCTCAGAGGTGCGCCTGTAGCGAGCTCAGAGGTGCGCCTGTAGCGAGCTCAGAGGTGCGCCTGTAGCGAGCTCACAGGTGCGCATGTAGCGAGCTCAGGGGTGCGCCTGTAGCGAGCTCAGAGGTGCGCCTGTAGCGAGCTCAGAGGTGCGCCTGTAGCAAGCTCAGAGGTGCACCTGTAGCGAGCTCAGAGGTGCGCCTGTAGCGAGCTCAGGGGTGCGCCTGTAGCGAGCTCAGGGGTGCGCCTGTAGCGAGCTCAGAGGTGCGCCTGTAGCAAGCTCAGAGGTGCGCCTGTAGCGAGCTCAGAGGTGCGCCTGTAGCGAGCTCAGAGGTGCGCCTCTAGCGAGCTCAGGGGTGCGCCTGTAGCGAGCTCAGAGGTGCGCCTGTAGCGAGCTCAGAGGTGCGCCTGTAGCAAGCTCAGAGGTGCGCCTGTAGCGAGCTCAGAGGTGCGCCTGTAGCTGAAGATCCTCAGGCTGACCCTAGACATGAGCATGTGGACCGCTCGGGTCGGGCCGACCCGACCCGACCCGTGGATTTGCTCGGGTCGGGTCAATCTTTCGGGATCCCTGGCCCGTATGGGCCGACCCGACCCGACCCGCGCGGAGACCCGACCCGAGGGCCAATTTCGGGCCGGGCCGAGCCGAGTATCAGGTCGGGTCTGACCCGACCCGATTTCGGGTCAGAACTGTCGAAATCGGGTCGGGCCTGGCGCGCGACAGGCAGCTGCCAGGCATTTGAAAATGGTTGTGTGGGTTTCATAAAGCGATCACTTGCTCGCCGTTGGGCTTATGTTCATCAATATCGTTAGAAGCACCAACACTCCATCTCAACATGCCATCAACTACCTATTGCTGCGTGCATGCTAATGTGCACTGCTTTCACCCGGTCAACCCGGTGCTGCTTTCTCGGTACTGCTTTCCAGGTGCTGCTTTTCAAAGACTCAACTGTTTTGCATCATTGATTCATAGCCATTGGTTGCGGCTCCTAAATAGTCACACCCACTTGAGTATGGCCCCGTCCTCACATTCATGACTTCTCGAGCTTCTACCTCCTCCTGCACTCCTCCACTGCCCCCTCCTGCACTCCTCCCCTGCCCCCTCCTGCACTCTTTCACTGCAGGGCCGGTGAGCTCAGAGCCGTTTCTTGGGTTTGGAGCAGGTCGCCTCGGCCTATCACGGCTTGTCACGTGTGCATGGGACAACATCGGGGCTGGAGATGCGACGGACGAGCCTGCGCCATGCGTGCTTCGTGAGTGCATTCTGGCGATGATGTGGCATGAACGCATACAGGCATGGATTGATAGCGTGCAAGCATGAAGTCCATACTTACCTGCCATCATCCTCCTTGGGACAACCTTCATATCCCATGTTCCCTTCATGCCCCCCCATGTGTCCTGCGCGCGCCCTTGTGCCACTCCTTCATTCCCCGTGCCCCTAACAATTTTCTTCTGTTGTTAGTGCATGGTGTATGAATCCACGCCTTCCTCCTCTTGCTCCTGCCCACAGGGTCACCCGGCGACACATCAGCCGCGCATTTCACGTATACCAAGGTGTTTGGTACGGCGCGGGACATGACCGTCAAGGACTCGCCGCAGTCGCTCGCCTCCACTCTCCTCCGCGCCACCCCCATGCCAGGTCAGCTCATACCTGCGAGTGAGGCAAGGCCGCCCCTGAGCCAGGTGCCACCCCCACGCTAGGTCAGCCCGTACGTGCACTGCACTGCACGACACCAGGGCGCTCATGCAAGTCCTGTCCACGCACGTGCCATCTTTTCTTCTTCAAACAGCCTTATCCCATCCACCAATCCCTCCTTTTTTCCTCCCCCATCTCCCTACACCCTGCCTCCCCCACCCCCCTGTTTTTCCCTGCAACGTGGCACTCTGTGACTTGTCCTCCCCATTCTCGCCTGTCTCCATGCACTGCCCTCGCCCTGCCCTCGCCCCGCTTTTGCCCTGCCCACCCCCTGCCCCCAGCAGAGCCGCCACCGAGCACGTCTGTGCGGCCGTACGAGCAGCTGCTGGGGGTGCGCTGTGCGCCGGCTTGTGCGCTGGCCATGCTGGCCAATGGCCGCTGCGACCCCGCATGCAACGTGGCTGCCTGCGACTTCGATGGCGGCGACTGTGCCTGCGCCACTGCCCACGCTGCTAGGGCTGGCCGCAGCACCACTGGCAGCGCTGGTGCAGATGTGCAGTGGTGTGAATGCTCGGTGCTGCAAACGCGGGGGGCAGATGGAGGTAAGTGCAAAAATGACCACAAGTCCCTCTAGGCTCTAGCCATGCTCCCTTCACCATGAAGCCTGGAGGGTGGGGCATTTGGGTATTGCAATGTGTGCTTCCATGCAATGTATGCTCCATGCAATGTGTGCTTCCATGCAATGTGTGCTTCCATGCAATGTGTGCTTCCATGCAATGTGTGCTTCCATGCTTCCATGCAATGTGTGCTTTCATGCAATGTGTGCTTTCATGCAATGTGTGCTTTCATGCAATGTGTGCTTTCATGTAATGAGTGCTTTCATGCAATGTGTGCTTCCATGCAGTGAGTGCTTCCATGCTAAACCGTCCTCTCTCCACCAGGGTTTAGAGTTTAGGTTCTCTCCTCTCTTTCCTAAACTCTGCCCCACTCCCGAATTAACCACTCCCCCCCCTTTCTACCTCTCCCCACTCCCACGCATCACACCGATTTTAAAAAGCACAGGCTTTAGACGCAGCTACATGCCCTTAGTTCACCGTTCACTCCTCCCCTCCCCCTCTTCCATCCTTCCCCACTCCCCGTCATCACTCTTCTCCATCATCCCCTTCCCCACCGACCCCCACCGTGCTCCACAGCGTGCTGTGAGGCGGCGGGGGTGGGGGAGGCCATCAAGGTGCCCTTCAGGCTGCGCCGCTTCGGCCCCAACGTGCATCCCCTCGACGCCACTCCCGCCACCAACGCCTCTCTGCCGCGCACTGTCTCCCAGTACAACAGGTGCCGCACTGTCTCCCAGTACAACAGGTGCCGCACTGTCTCCCAGTACAACAGGTGCCGCACTGTCTCCCAGTACAACAGGTGCCGCACTGTCTCCCAGTACAACAGGTGCCGCACTGTCTCCCAGTACAACAGGTGCCGCACTGTCTCCCAGTACAACAGGTGCCGCACTGTCTCCCAGTACAACAGGTGCCGCACTGTCTCCCAGTACAACAGGTGCCGCACTGTCTCCCAGTACAACAGGTGCCGCACTGTCTCCCAGTACAACAGGGGCCGCACTGTCTCCCAGTTTTGGTGCTGCACTGATCTTCAGACATAATTCTCAAGGAGCTGCAGTAGTGAACAAACGCAAATGAACAAACAGCTAGTATTGTACTCGCTGTGTCAGACTAAGTGCTCAAAGAGATCCCAGAGCTAAACAGGTCTAAGAGCCAAGCAGAGGTAAGAGTCTCCCAGTACAACAGGTGCTGCACTGTCCCTCGGTACAACATATGCCATTGCTTTTACTGTGTCATACTGCCTCCCTGCATTTCGCCTCTCTGCGTGCTGCCTAGCCAGTTACTTTCATTCAATGACAGCCCTGACCACCGTGCTCCACTGTGCCCCTCACTCACTGTGCCATGCGGTGTGTTTCCCTCTGCATGCATGCAATGGGCGTGGCACGCGTGGCTCGCATGTGTTTCATCCCGCACCCCAGTGTGCTGGTGGGGCTGGTCATCGTGCAGTACCGCTGGAACTCTGACCGCTGTGCCAACAGCAGGTCAGTCGCCCTCACTCCAAACAGATCATCAGGAGTATTTTACCTGAATTTATGCATATTCTCCAATCCCATGCACCTTTTTTGTCAATCCTCTCACACTGCTTGTGTGCAAACCCAAGTCCACCATTCCTCGCCTTCCTCCCCTCTCATCCACCCCCCTCCCCTGCCTCTCCCCTGCCTCCCTCTGGCACGGCAGGTTCCACTTCCAGGAGGCATGTGTGGGGGGGGAGTCGGCGAGAGCGTTTGGGGTGAACCCGGTGTTCCTGCCGTCGTCGTCGCTCTACAACCCCAATGTCGCCGTCACCAACACCACTGCCTTCACCAACCAGCCCTTCGCCAACCCCTTTGAGCTCAACGCCAAGGGCCTGCCCTTCGCCTTCCAGCAGCTCGTCAGTCATACCTTGCCTTGCCTTCTGTTCCTGTCAATGTACATGATGTAACCGAGTTACCATGTTACCATATTGAGTCAGCTAGCACAGCCCCTCCGGGCTCTGGTTCTACCAAGAAACTCACTCTCCTCATGGCACTCCAGACAGTATGGTGGCAGCGGCATCTCCCTCATCTCTATTCCTACTTGTTTGTCCAAAACCATTACAGTGTTTCTCCTTTCCCTCCTATGTGAGAGTCTTCCTTGGAGAAACTTAGAGCTCAAATTTTTGTTGAAGGTTTTTGTGAATGGGGGTTGCTGACCCTCGTCTGGCCCTGCTACAATGCTCAAGTCACAATTGGTCGGGTCTTAGAAAGGTTTGATCCAACTAGTTTGAAATGGTTTGGCGGTCAACCCGACTTGGTTCGGCGTGACCCGGTTCAGGCTCGACTCATGCTCATATCATGTTTACCTGATGCTCAACACAATGTTTATCTTGGTCTGCGCACTCCCTTGCACTCCCCACCAACCCAACCCGCACTGTTTCCTCAGCCGGGCAGCGGGCGCTTCCCGATCGTGTTTGACGTGAATCTGGATAACGCGGGGGCAACGCGGCGGCTGCAGTACTTGGTGGACGGCTTCTTCATCGACAACTACACCCGCACCATCCACGTCGGCCTCATCACCCGCAATGGTAACGTGCCTGTCGACTATGTCTTGCTTCAATGCCTCTCAGCCGGTCAAAAAAGAAGTGTCACAAATTCAGGGTTTCAGAAAGGGAACTCAAACACAGAGTAAAGATAAGGCACTCCATTTTAAGTACTAAGAGAATCTGGGTTGAGGGAGGAAGGAAAAAGCCCATTTCTCTTATGTTGATTTGGCAAAGTGAATTCCAACCAGATGAGTCTACTGCAACAGATAATCAATTACTGTTTTAATATATCAGTTGGTAGGGACCTCTTTCATGTTGTGTTCCATCCACCCAACCTCCCTCTCCTGCCTTCGCACTCACCCTCTCTCGCCTGCATTTGCACTTGTCCTCCCTCACCTGCCTTTGCACTCGTTCTCCCTTGCCATGACTTACCCTCGGCTTATGCGCTCCCCTCCCTCCCGCCGCCCAGCCAACGAGCATCTATTCACGGCCACCAAAGCCACCCTGACGGTGCAGTCAGGCGGCAGCATGGAGGGTGTGTTCCAGGTGCAGCCGGTGAACGTGGAGTACTACAACATGAATGACAGCACCAACGTGGCGCGCCTCGTGGTGGAACTGCTGTTTGTGGCGGCGGTGGCGTGGAGCATCGTGGAGGAGGTGAAGGAGATGCTGTGGACGTGGAAGGTGCAACGCCGCTCCTTCTGGCACTACGCATCCAAGGGGTGGACATGGGTGGACTGGCTCTCCATCGCCCTCCAGATCACCTGCATCGCCATCTGGTCAGTACACATGGGGTGGAACCGTGGAGGTATGAGGTGGTCAGGCATGGGATAGTGAAGCATGGGGTGGTGAGGCATGGGTGATGACTGTTAGAAGACCTGCACTGGGAATGGTTACAGACATGCTTGACTTGATAATTATGGGCACTCTCACTCGCTATTTAACAAGTCATTTTATCCCAGTGGTGTAGTGGCAGGGATTTTGACATAGTATCAGAGTGAAGGTCTCGTTTTTTTTAACCCCATATGCGCACATTCTCACGCCCATGTGTCGCTGCCGCTGTGCCAAGTCCTAGAGCATCACAGTGAGGGGGGTGTCATGATACCTGCACTGGGGATCCCCGATTGATCATAGGGAAAAGTTACGAGCACTCTTGCCTGGGGGGTTATGGACGCACTCACCCGCACTTAACAAGCTCTTTCATCCCAGTAGTGTAGTGGCTGGAACTCTGACAATGACGAGTCATGAGATGGCGATGCATGAGTTGACGAGGCATGGGGTGAAGAGGCATGGGGTGAAGAGGCATGGGGTGAAGAGGCATGGGGTGTAGAGGCATGGGGTGAAGAGGCATGGGGTGAAGAGGCATGGGGTGAAGAGGCATGAGGTGAAGAGGCATGGGGTGAAGTGGCATGGGGTGAAGAGGCATGGGGTGAAGAGGCATGGGGTGAAGAGGCATGGGGTGAAGAGGCATGGGGTGACAAGACATGGGGTCATACTTCGACGAGGCATGGCATGGGATGACGATGCATGCATGGGACTAGTTCAAGTGGTAAGTAGTGATTGAGAGTGGTGGGTCATTCATCTTATGCTTACATTGGGGGAGTGCATTTGGGTTTGGGTACTGCCCTTTCCATTCCGCACTTTTTCATCCTCTTGGTGCCACACATGCAAGATAGCCATGGCATCTATAGACAGGCACACAGTACCATGCATCCATGCTACAACATGCATCCATCCATGCTACAACATGCATCCATCCATGCTACAACATGCATCCATTCATGCTCCAACATGCATCCATGCTACAACATGCATCCATCAATGCTCTAACATGCATCCATGCCACAACATGCATCCATCCATGCTCCAACATGCATCCATGCTACAACATGCATCCATCCATGCTACAACATGCATATATCTATGCTCTAACATGCATCCATGCCACAACATGCATCCATCCATGCTCCAACATGCATCCATGCTACAACATGCATCCATCCATGCTCCAACATGCATCCATGCTACAACATGCATCCATCCATGCTCCATCAAGCATCCATGCTCCAACATGCATCCATGCTCCAACATGCATCCATGCTACAACATGCAACAACATGCATCCATCCATGCTTCAACATGCAACAACATGCATCCATCCATGCTTCAACATGCATCCATGCTACAATTTGCATCCATGCTACAACATGCATCCATGCTACAACATGCAACAACATGCATCCATCCATGCTCCAACATGCATCCATGCTCCAACTTGCATCCATGCTCCAACATGCATCCATGCTACAACATGCAACAACATGCATCCATCCATGCTCTAACATGCATCCATCCATGCTCTAACATGCATCCATGCTCCAACATGCATCCATGCTCCAACATGCATCCATGCTCCAACATGCATCCATGCTACAACATGTACTGCACGGCACGCTCCTAGAGTCCCCGCCCACCACAACGCTCTCCTCCGCCAGCTGTATGCCAGCATCATGTGCAACTACCGGCAAGCAAGTCTCTCACGTTCTCTTTCTCATCCTCTCTGCCATGCCATGAACAGGATATCAGTGGCGGTGATGCGAGCACAGGGGTTCAGCATCCAGCCTCACTACGACATCTACTACACGCTCGACGACAACCCGCGCTACTGGTCGCTGCCCAACCCTCCCGTGGGCTATCAGTCCGCCATGTCAGCCGTGGACACGCTTGGCTTCATCACCAACCTCTGCGCCGTCTACTTCGCCCTTCAGGGCATTAAGTCAGTCTCGCTTCTCCTCTCCCATTCCCCTGCATCTCAACATGAGCAACGGGTCGTATCGGTCGGATAACCTGGGTGGTTTTCGTGTGCGACCCATCTTTCCTCTCTCACCTCTCCCTGTTCTCTTCCCTCAGTCCTCTTTTCCTTCGCCACCCCTGTCCCGAATCTTCCTTGCTCTGTTGCTATCTAAAATGTGCTTTCTTTGTGACCCCCATCACTGCATGACCACAAAAGCCTTCGCCCCCATCCGTGGCATTGCTTTCTTTCTTGCCTTTCCCCATGATGCGTGTCACCATCCCACCCCACCAGTGTGTTCATAATAGTGCTTCGCCTCTTGAAGCTGATGGACTTTCAGCCCAACATGGGCGTCATCACCCGCTCCCTCCGGGTGGCCCTGCCGTCGCTTCTCCACTTCTTCATTCTCTTCTTCGTTGTCTTCGTGGCATACGCCACCTATGGCTACCTGGTGTTTGGGATGACCTTAGTACAGGTGTGTGCCTCTAGCGTGCTTCTCCCATGTGTGTGTGTGTGTGTGTGTGTGTGTGTGTGCGTGCGTGCGTGCGTGCGTGCGTGCGTGCGTGCGTGCGTGCATGCGTGTGTGTGTGTGTGTGTGTGTGTGTGTGTGTGTGTGTGTGTGTGTGTGTGTGTGTGTGTGTGTGTGTTCCGATGAGTTCACGAGTTCTATCTGTTAGGCATGAACAAAGTACTGAACCGGGGTAAAAATGGGCAGCTTGGGCCTCCCGGATCAAGGTGAAGCGGCCGACCATTCGCCTCAAACTGGCTTGGCAGACTCGACCGGTTCCTTACCGAGCTGCGTCAAACACACCTCAGGGCTGCTTGGGTTTCAACATGGGTAGCAACATGAGGTTGAGAGTTCATAATGGACCTCAAGCTTTAAGTCGCCAGATTTACCCAGTTCGGCCCAATCCGCATGGGGTTTGGGTACTTGCTAAATTCTATACTTTGCCAAAAAGAAGTGCAAAGTGTGTTTATTTCTGGTGCGTTCGTATTACACAGTGATCGAGGAGTTGCATTCGATGGCGAGCAACTAATTGGCCGACAACCAATTTAGACACTAGGCAAGAACAAGAACCGAACCAGAACCGGTTACGTTTTTGCTCGGATGAACCAGAAGTGGTTTGACCAGAACCAAAGCCAGTTTGGGTCGAACCGGGTTGTGGCTACTGACCCTCCCAATATTGGCCCGACCATTATTGCTCATATGAACCGGTCCTGGTGTCAAACAGCTTACAGTTTTGGGGCAAAACAACCGTGGTTCGACCCAAAGTGGTTTTGTTCGACTGTGCAGTTTCTTATAGTGTCGTGGTTCTTGTAAGTGTTTCAAACCTGAGTGTGGTGGTGCCAGTGTATTGAAATCATCATACTGGAAATGGGCATAGGGCAAAGTTGGAATGACCTATGCGGTTGCGGAGGGGAATGGCTGGGTTACAGAGTGACAATGACAGTCGGAGCGGGTGTTGGACGATGGGGGAACAGGAGACACAAGGGAAGGCGAGGAGAGGAGCGCCAGGGGGTTAATAGACATGCCGGCACGTGCTAAGACCCAGCTGTGGAAGCTATGGGTGGATAGCATTGTAGGTGTACACGTGGATGGACACATTGGATCGCATGCAAAGAGGGAACCAGTTGTGGACGCAAACATGTCACTGGGAGAGGAACAAGGGGGATAGGCAGTTGTAACCTCAGCCTGCTTAACAGCATGCTCAAATCAAAGTTTAGTTGCACCCAATGCTTTGTTAAAGGGATTTACGTTCTGTCTCCGCCTACATTCTTTCCAAGTGTCCTGGGCTGCAGGGTTGTGTAAGAGGTACTGAACAATCAGTTGCACATGTGTGCACTTCCTTCACTGCCTTTTTTTCCCCCACTGCAGTTCAGCACGCTGTGGTTGTCCCTGCAGACGTGCTTCTACATGATGGTGGGCCAATTCGGAGTGATGAATTTCCAGCAGATGGTGGGGTGGCAGTACGCGGCAGCCATGGTGTTCTGGTTCTCCTTCGTCATCATCTTCTGCTTCATCCTCTTCAACTTCCTCATCGCCATCATCGTGGATGCCTTCATGGCAGTCAAGGTCAGTCAACAAAGGTCAACGCCAGTCAAGGTCAGTCAACAAAGGTCAACGCCAGTCAAGGTCAGTCAACAAAAATCAACGGCGGTCAAGGTGAGTCGGTGCAGGTCAACAGCAGTCGAGGTGAGTCAACACTGGTTCATGGCAGTCATGGTGAGTCAACACCGGTCAACGGCAGTCAAAGTGAGTCAAGACCGGTCAACAGCAGTCAAGGTCAGTCAACAAAGGTCAACGACAGTCAAGGTGAGTCAACGCAGGTCAACAGGTGGAACAAGTCAATGATGGTGAATGTGAGAAACAGCATAATATAGTGGTTCTTCTACATTGAGCTCTTTGCCTTCCTCCCTCCTTCCCACCTCGGCCGATTGACCTGCACGTGTGGGCAGGAGTCATCGGACAAGGCACCGGCGATCTACCAGGACATGTACTTGATTGTGGTGCGCTTCTTGCGCCGCGTGGCATCGCCGTACACAAGGTACAGCCGCCTGCTGCGCCACCTCATTCGCCTCGGCGCAGAGAACACCGCCCACGCCGTCCTCGAGGTGAGCAGGCAGGGAGGTGAGCGGGCAGGGAGGTGAGCAGGCAGGGAGGTGAGCGGGCAGGGAGGTGAGCGGGCACGGAGGGGAGCAAGCATGTGAGAAAAGATGGAAATGCGAGTGTGGGGAGTCTAGGGCCAACTGCTAATTTCCAGCCAGAAGAATGGACCCGCATGTCCCGCATAGTTCCGCATGACCCATGGTTCCCCATCCCGGACCATGCCGATGTGATCCAACCTCCACGCCAATCCTGATTGGAGGCAATATGGGATGACAGGTTGGAGTTAAACTTGAAACAAAAGTCCGAAAAGAACGCTGGTTTGGGTTTTTTTTTCATATTGAGACAATAATCTGCCATGCAGGAGGCTGGCCAGGAACTTATCACTAAATGTATGTGCGTTGCTTGCATCCGACATCCACCGTCCCACGCATTTCTTCCTTGCTGTGCATCCGACCATCACTGCCTTTTTGACCAAACTGGACTCATTCCTTTCCCATTTTTCACCACTTTCCAGAAGAGCATCCGGCAGTCAGGCCAGCAGTGCCTTTCGTCCAGCCTTCACTGCGGCAGGGAGGCGAGAGGAGGCAGGCATGATGGCAGCAGCAACTTGAATGGCCAGGCAGATGCGGATGGGGATGGGGATGGGAGGGCGGATGCTGTTGCTAATGGCGGGCCAGGGAGAGATGGGGCGAAGGAGCAGCAAGAGGGTGTTCCTTACAAGAGCATGCAAGCGCAGGGCCATTTTGATGCGCAGCAACAAGTGTTGGACATGGTGGGAGCAGATGAGACTGGCTTAAGCGGGGGAGAGAGCAAGAAGGGGTTGCTGGCAAGTGGTGGGGTCGCCAAGTCCCAGGCAGCCGACAGCACCAACACTCAGCTGGACGCCCATGCTGCCACCGCTGCTGCTGCTGCTGCTGCTGGCAGCACGGGTGGCAGCACGGGTGGCGGCATGGTGGAGCCGGCAGTGCAGAGGCGGCGGAGTTTCTGGCGGCTGAAAACGCTGGATGAGCGCGAGACTGTGGTGGTGGTGGGGGACAGGCACCTCAACGCCCACTCACTCTCCGCCGTCCTGCGCCGCGCACACGCCCGCATGGTGAGACGGGGGGCATTGCATGCACGTCAAGGGATGGGATGAGCATTGCATGCACGTCAAGGGATGGGAAGAGCATTTCATGCACACCTGCCGGATATGTTCAAAGAATGCAGTCAGCAGCCCCACACGATCTTCATCTTTCCCATTCGTCTTCCCACCTGCTCCTGCGTCTCCAATCAGTCTGTCATTCCCACCACCAGCACTCCTCAGACCTGTCCTCAATCGCTGTGGGAGGGGGGGGGAGAGCTGCTCACACTCCTTGCCTTTCTCCCCCATGCCATCCCATCGCATCCGCCCCTGCAGCGGCGCTCTCTCTCCGACGAGCACGAGGGGGACCCCATGAACGTGGCAGCGCTGGGAGCTATACTGATGTCGGAGCTGGGGGAGAGCCTGCCGCCTGCCGACGCCACGGCTGCTAGCAGCACGGATGGAGGCGAGGCGGCAAAGAAGGACGACCTGGTGGCCATGCAGCAGCACGTGGAGGCACTGCGGGCTGATGTGGCGCGTGGCTTCGACCAAGTCAGGCAGCAGCTGGCCGCGGACTTCCAAAGTTCCCAGCGCAACCAGTTGCCACAGGACGCCAGTCCAAGCCTGCGCTCGAGCCAGCTAGCTGATGGTCAGGAAGAGGCTGGGCGAGGAGGATGGGAGCAGGTTTTGATGCAGGTGGAGAAGATTCGAAAGGAGGCTCAGAGGGAACGAGCGGAGGGTTTGGAGATCCTGCAGGAGCTCAGAAGGGAGTTGCAATTGCTGAGGGCAGCGAGAGGGGAGGGGGGAGGGAGGGGAGGAGAGGAAGAGAGAGGGGATGGGAGTGGGGGAGGGGCATGAGAGAAGAGTATTGTGTGCAGGGTGCATCGTGAACTGTGATGCCGTGTATGAGGCTCAAGCCCAGTGGTGCTTGGCGCTGCCAGCTGGGGAGCTGTAAGAGCACATGGACGCAGCACGTGCTGCTGCGAAGTGTGAAGTGGTCACCACCTGGTTCAGTTGCCGGTATGGTTCAACATGGTGTGGAATTCTTAGTGAGGTTCACCACGCGAATGCAGTAAGTTACTGTACAGTAGTCACAGAATTGGTGCCTGTGGAGCAGGCTCTTTAGTATTGAAGCCATGTGGATGGTATTCACTTGGCTTTGCTGGCTATTCCATTATTTAAATGGCCTACAAGCTGGGTTCTGGGTTCTTTGTGGCAATAGGTGGCTGAAAGACATGTAGAGACAGGCACAAAATCACTTGAATAGCAAGATGTTATGTTACATACCTTATATATACTCGAAGAAATGCTACCGTAATACCCCGGATATAAGAGTAGGTACACTTCTAATAAATCAGTGTTTTCCAGGGGGGTGCGCTTCTAATTGGGTCGTTTTTATAAGCGCATGCGCCTATACTAGGGAAAAAAATGGAATTCACTTTTAAACATACCAAACTGAAGCCCGCAATAAGGCAAATCCAACCGACCATGCAACAAGTGGGATCGTGCATGGTTTTTTAGGCAAAACCAGCTGCGGTTCGGTTTCCCACCGCACTGTTTTGTCTAGAACCATCGAACATGACAGTCGTGACGGGGATGTTGCCGTGCGGCCCAATCACTGCCGCATGCGCTGCGTGGCATGTGCATTTCTTCTCAACCATCTCGAAGGTTGGGGAAGATTCCCTACCAGCGCAGCGTATATGCTGCCACGCAGGTTCCTCTACGGGGGTAGGCGGGGGTTTTCCGCCTGTCATTGACGAGGACCCCGAGCTGCCAACCGTACGGATCCCCGTCGTTGCCCATTTGTGCAACTTCATTTTCACTTTTCTTCATTCAGTTTCCAATCTAGCCCGCCTGGCTGGCGAAGCCATGGCGGAATTTAGCGGGACGCACTTCCTCTTCAAGAAGAAACCACATCGCCCGTGGCGCCTTACCGAGGACGACTGGTATATCCGTGAGCCACCAGCGCCTCCAGTGCCACCTGCACCCCCTTCACCTCCTGCTCCGCCTGCTCCTCCTGCACCTCCTGCTCCTCCCGCTCCTCCGAATCCGCATGTTCTTGGTACGTGTAGTTCTCATCAACGGCCCGTGCTCCAGCTGTATTTACTTGCCAGCCACCTTCGACGAGTGGCTGTCTGAACCGGACACACCCAAAGCCCCCGATGTGTTCATCCGTGCTCCGCCGCTTGCACCACGGTGGGGAAATCCTGAAGCCTGCACGTGGGATGAGTCGGCTGTGGGTGCCGACGATGACGTGGCCGCCGATAAACATAACACCGGCGACTGCGACGGCGGAAGCGACGGTGGAGGCGACGGTGAAGAGGGCGCCGAGGAGGACGTGTTCGCAGATCGTGATGCAACTGCCGCGGACAATGACGTGTGTGGAATCTTGGTGGCGCGACGCACCACGCGAGAAGATGCCGATACCAACGTATCCGCCGGTTTAACAAAAAATGACCCCACCCCTCCTCTGAGAATCGAGATGCCCGCCCCCCCTCTCCTAGGCACAAGCTGACTCAACATAAACGACACTCCTACACCGCCAAGGAGATACTAAGGTGGCTCGTTCGGCTGGAGCTTGCGGCATCGGTAAGCGAGGTCGCGCGGGAGCTCGGCATACACCGCAAATGGCTGTCAGTGTGGAAATCCCAAGTGGAGCAGCTCAAGGGTGCACACGGTGCACGGTGTCGACTTCATGGGCGCGGGAGGTCTTCCTGGTACAGACCCATGGAATTGAAGGTGTACGCTTAAATCCTCGACTAGCGACGCCGCGGTGTTGCAGTATCTGTCGGCAAGCTACGAGACTGGTCACGCGAGGTGACGAAGGTGCTGTTCCCGGAAGTCAAATGGAAAGGGAGTCAGCGCTGGACGGAGCGGTTCCGCAAGCGGTGGAACCTCACCGTGCGCATGAAAACATAGGCGTAGAAGATACAGCAGCGTAAGTGCCTCGCTTCCCATTTACTTCGAGCGATGTCGCATGGTTTCATCCGCCCTTGTATCTGTCCGTGCACTGCCATCCGCCCTTGGATGTTTATGTTGTATCTTTCCGCGACGCACGCAACGAGTACGATATCAACAATCAATATATCATCAACGCCAAGACGCCTTTGTGGTTGGAGACGCTGGTGACTACCACAGTGGAGCACACGGGCCGTGAAGTCGGTGCGCATCGGCAGCGGTGGTTACCAGAAGGAAAGAGTCACCGACATACTGGCGTGCACAGCGACGGGCGAGAAGTTGAAGCCGTGGGTGTTTTTCAAGCGCAAAACACTCCCAAAGGGTGACTTCCCAAATGGTAAGAAGATGTTAATGCGCGTGTTCTAGACGGTAAAGACAATAAATTACTTAAACACTGCTTACATTTGTGCAGATATCGTGGTTGGCTGCCAAGAGAATGGGTGGATGTGCGGAGATTCACTCTACAACGGTAGTGAGCTAGACTACGGGGTTGGCACGAACTACTAGGAGTGATCGTAGCTTTGCTTGGTTCCTTAGCACTTGCACATGCACGGGAGAATTTGGCAAGAGATTCCACTCGCAAAGTTAGAATTCCAGGATGATTTTACAAGCAATGACAGAATGACTACATCAAGCACCTAGCAACTCTGCAGCTAGCCTGGTCGACCGCCAGCACAGCATGGTCGACCGCCTGCCAGCGTTACGTAGAGGAGCTGCGCCAGCACTACAGAAGCGCGACCTGCCAACACTGCAGGTCGACGGCGTGCCAACGCTGCAGCAATGCGGCTGTCCAGCGTTGCCCCGTAGAAGACAGCAGTGTGCACGCTTACAGATGCGCGCAGACGATATGCCAGACTTGCCTCGCAGGGCATCCGTCGGCTGTTGTCTGCGCCTGACGAGCCACATCGACTTCGGGATACCATTCCGAAGTCGCCTTCGTCATCGCGATCTCGACGACGTTCGCGTGCCTCCGCAGAACTCGTCGAGCAGGTTACCCGGTCGACCTGGTCGACCCCCAGATACTCTGGTTGACCACCGGGTCCCTCTGGTTGACCACCAGGTGCCTCTGGTCGACCACAGCTCCCGTCGAGCTACCCCCTGGTCGACGGACCCCTTCCGTCGACCAGAACTGCTCCGTCGACCTCCCGGACGGTCCACCCGTTGCCCTGGCCAGTTAGTTGCGGCTGTCGAGCTCCCTGGTCGACAGCAACACCACAGCGGTCTCCTGCAGCTCGACGTAGCCTGTCGAGCAGCTCTCCCACTGTACAGTCGGCTGCTACTCCCGTACATCCGACCAAGTCGTCGGCGTTGCCCAAGCGAGGGCGGGGCCAACACTCCATTCTCGTTAACAGGATGGAGGCAGCGGGCATCATCCAGTGGCTCGATGTGGGGGTGGTGCCGTTCCTGAACCAAAATTTGGCATCTAGAGTCGGAGCGCCATGCTGGTACTCGACTCCTAACATGGTCACCTAACACTCGAAGTCAAGGCGAAATTCGCGGCGCTCATCATCGTGCCAGCGATCATCCCGGCGGAATGCACGGCAGACTTGCAGCCGCTCGATGTGTCGATCAACAAGAGCTTCAAAGCGAGTGTTCGCCAGCACCAAAACAGGTTTGAGCAGGACGGCATGAACATTGTGACAGCTGCAGGTGAGCAACGATATGTCCTCTCGTCTCCTCTTCGTGTGCTTGTCTGCATGCTTGTAGACTCATGTGTTGCCTACTCTCTTCTGTGTGGTGCAGGGAACATCAAGAAACCACCTCCGGAGGTGGTGCTCAAGTGGATTTCACAAGTGTGGAAGGCTGTGCCCGTCGAACTGATTAAGAAAGCATTCCTCACCTGCGGCATCAGCAATGCCCTTGACGGGAGCGAAGACAATCTGGTGATGGCGCACCGGAGAAGCCAGCTGACCCACGAGGTAGAGGTAGTCGACGACATCCAAGCAGACGGGTTCTGGGGCAACAACTCCACGGAGCCTGAATCGGACGAGGAGGAGTAGGCCAAAGGCTAGAATAGGCATGATGATGGTGTTTAGGCTAGGACCCTAGTCACCCTATTGTATGTGAATGTTTTAGTTAATGGAATTTTTTAGCTTGGGAAACAGTAGCATGGATGGAGATAGTAACAAAAATGGCAAAATTTTAACATACGGTACAATCTTGTCTATACAGCAAGGGTGCGCTTATAATAAGTAACGATTTTTTAGGGGGTGCGCTTATAATTGAGGATCGGCCATAAGCGCATTGCTCCAGATAGAAGCGCATGCGCTTTTAATAGGCCTGCGGTTATATCCGGGGCTTTACGGTACTATGGTAAATCACTTCGCAAGTCATACACCAGTTGGGGTAGAAAATTGCAATAGGACTGTTAATATGTGGTTTGAGGTCGAATGGCCTCCAACCCTCGTTATATGCTCGGAGGGGAAAAAAAAATCTCCTTGCTTCGGTTGCACTTTCTTGATACACATTTTTTTGAGCGTGCAATCACGAATATAGAAACAAAAAAGCATATGTGGCATTCTTGGTCCCTTTTACTTGCAAAAGGAACCATCTCTGTTTTAATATGGTCTTCCGACACATGTAATGTACCGGAGCATATAAGGCTTAAAAGTGGCAATTGATCGTTAATGATATCAAAACGATTGATGAGGCCGTGTCAGCGTCCAGATGAGTGTTTGAGTTGCTACTTAATTGTGCTGTAAAACCTTGTGGCGTGAAGTAGATGTGAGGTATGCCACCAAAGAAGCAGCCGATCACTCCTCTCTTCTCTGCCAGCTTTGCAAAGCAGGATGCCGGGCAATTTGCCAACCGTCTAATGACCGAGTACTTGTCAATTCTCGGCATGGTGCAGTTTGCAGCCATCTCAACCCGTCCTGGCCTCACTTTTGCATGCAGCCGCCTTGCAGCAGGTGCACACCTAGGACGGATGCACATTGGCATGAGCTCTTCCGCACACTCTCGTACTTGGCTGCCTCACCGGACATGGGGCTGTTGTTC